AGATAGAAGTGTGTATTTGTGCATTTTTATTCACTGTACACACTAGTGATGGCAGGAATGATCAATACAAACCTCAGAGTAACAATTAAGCGTTCAAAAAATGAAATAAAAGTTATGACATGACGCATTTCATAGTTACTCTAACTGTGAGACAGACAGAAAAAGTTACGAAAAAATCAGGTGAACCCCCCCCCTGTCGCAGACCTAGAACACCACCACCTTGTGCTTTATTATTCTCATGGTAACGAAAAATGCATAGTTCTTTTCAAGGTGAAAAATAAATGCTGTTAACGATTTCATTACTTTAAACTATATACGCTTGTGCCAATTATTACGTCAGAAAGGCATAAAAAAGTGGTAAAAACATGATTTATTTAGGGCGGGAGAGTTGATTTGGATGAATTCCAAAATTAAAGAATAAAAAAGATAATTAAGTAGGTGTGAATGGATATTAGGAGATTGAATTAATAATCCCCAGTGAAGACAGTGTTGATGATGAAGTCAGACAACTGAAAGAAACCTTCAAAGAAGACGTGTATCCACTACGCTTCGTCGACGCCATCAGCATATTACAACAAGACATATAAGCGAACAATATTGTTTTCAGTTAGATCTTCGTCAGGCTTTACTCTAATTTACCAATGACGGTGATTTTGTGGATCAAATAATAATAATATGGTAAATGTTTTGAACGTCATTAATTACGATGATTATAATGATAACAAAATACTGATAATAAGGTTTATGCAGGTGGCGATAAGAATAACAAAGGTAGTAATTTGTGTATATGTAGACAATTCAATAAGTAAATTAGGTCAAATCTTAAGAGTTACGTAATACCCAGGGTGAAGTGGACAGATAATCAGAGTTTAAATAAATATCATAAAAGTACGAAGGAGATGGAAAACAATAAAGGGTGAGAGGGTTTTAATTGGAGTTTACCTAGGCCAAGGAAAAGATAAAGGTAGAACAAACTTCTTTTTTCGTATGCAAAGACACTAGGATTGTTCTCTCGAATTATTTCCCATAGCTTTGGCTATGTGTAAAAGGCGGGTTCGAATTCCGTTCGAAAGGCTCGATGGAATGCGATAGATAACTTTGAAGGGACTACTTCTGTCCACCTGATGACCGCTATCAATCAAATGAGCCAAAATAGAACTTCTTATAGATTTGACCTTTTCCGAACCATGAAGGAAGATGCTCATTAATGCGTTTGTTAAGCTGTCTAGTTGTTCGACCTATATAGGTCTCTCCACAGGAGCAACTAAATTTGTAGATACACATAGAAGTGGCACAGCTAGGTAGCTTGTCTTTCACTTGAGCAATCATAATTGGTCGGTTGGAAAATGACAAACAAAGAGTGGTGGCAGTATAAAAAACCCTCCCAGCCTTTCTTATTTTCCATCTCCTTCGTACTTTTATGATATTTATTTAAACTCTGATTATCTGTCCACTTCACCCTGAGTATTACGTAACTTTTAGGTTGTGGCCTAATTTATTTATTGAATTGAATTGTCTACATATACACATATTACTACCTTCGTTATTCTTATCGCCCCACCTGCATAAACCTTATTATCATTATTTTGTTATCATTATAATCATCGTTATTAATTACGTTCAAAACATTTACCACATTATTATATTTTTTAGATTATTATTTGGTCCACAAAATCACCGTCATTGGTTAAAATTTTTATATATAAATCTATGTAAATTAGAGTAAAGCCTGAAGAAGATCTAACTGAAAACAATATTGTTCGCTTATATGTCTTGTTCTAATATTAAAAATGGGAATATTTAAACATCAACATATTACATGGAAAAAATATAAAGGGGGGTAAGGTAGCTAAAATAAAAGGTTGCATCTAAACTTTGAATTTAGGGGTGACCCTGCGAGTGAGGTACGTAAAAACCATCTCACAAGATCATTGAGAAAAACATCCTTTTGCTGCCAATTTACGAATAACCTACTCTAGCTGTCCACTGGTGCACCTTAATGTTAGGGAAATGTCACCTCGATTATCTAATTCCATGTGTATTTATATGTTCACCTACTCTTGCGGAGCCAGCTACATAGGACGTTTGTCGAGAAACATATCCCGCCGAGTTCGAGAGCACCTCCCAGTTTGGCTGAGCAGAGGAGAACGTTGCAATATATTGTAGATACTGGCCACTCAGTATCTGACACATCGTTTAATATGGTCTACAAAGTTTGTCGAAAGGGACACGAGTGCATTCGCAGTGTATAGCAGAGGCTTTGGAAATACATAACATAAAGGCAGAACTTTGTGTACACAAATAATTTGTACGATCCCTTTCGTTACCATGGTCTTGACTTTACTATGTAATTCGCACAACAACTTTGTTATCCTTCTTTACTCCGTGTTCCATTTTTGTTTCATTTCATTTTACTTTATGTTATCATATTCTAACATTTTATCTAGTTTCTAATTCAGTTTAGATTTTCCCATCGACTGATTAGACCGAAGTGCTCATTCTCAAGTTGATATGTCGGCATCTTGTGCAGATGTTTCAACGATGTCTGATTTTTCACTTGAAGTAAATTGGTGAATGGTAACCAGCTCAGTGGATTCCAGGATGCTCATGTCAACCTGAGGCCAGGCACTTTAGTCCAATCAGTCGATGGAAAAGTCCGAGTTGAATTAAATAATTACTAATACGCGTTGCACAAGGTGTCTAATGGATAACGCTTTAGCGTTTGAGACTATGGGCACTGGGTTAGAGCCTCAATGGGAACACCATCATTCACTGAGGAATGCAGGTGCATCCATGTGACAAGTCCCAAATGGGACGAAATACGCATCCTGGATTCCACTGCTAGTCACCACCAACCAATTGATTTTATCTAGTCTACTATTTTGACAACATTTCACTCATCCTATGTCGTTTCCATCACATTATATTCACATATTCGCATTTCCGAATGTACTTTATTTCTCCCATCATTTATTTCCCACATGTCTATTGAACTTTAAGTTGACCTCTAATTATTTAGTTATTCATTCATATATCTGATCAACTGTGACTCATAATCGTATACACCAATATTCTCGTACTTTAGCATTTCCACTCACTGTCAAACTGTTAATTTTCAATAAACCACATTATCATCCAACCAGCTAGTTGAAATCCATTGAAGTTTCATGGTTAAAGGTGCTACAAGAGCTGAAGCGCAGCTACCAAACATCATGTAGATACCAGGTGTTTCGTTGATATCTTGAAATCCTTCAAAATAGAGACGATGCCAAGTTTACTACAATTTGTAGGAGAAATTGTAATCAAACGTTTTCAACCTAACTTATGTATCAGATAAGAACTTGTGAAATAAAATGATCACATTTTCTCATGAAAATGTGGTTTGCCTTGCTTTAACTAAAATTTATCAATAGAAACACATATATGAAATATAATATTCTACTTTTATTCCTCAATACTATCAAGGGTGTGCTGACTGACTGTTTCAACATAGAAATTTGCACCATAGTGCACCACTTCAAGTTGGTGCATTCCGTACAGTACACGTATGTAGACAGAAGAGAGAGAAAAAGACATCCAAAAGAAAAGTATTAGACAAAAACGTGAGGGAGAAAGGATGGTGACATGGAAAAACACGACAGTTTAGTGGATAAGGGAGGTCACAAAAAGTGCATGCCTCTGAGCCATATCACCAATAGTTCCCAGTCATTGGTTCTTAGAATCCTTAGGAATCTAACCAGGCAGTCTACAGATCCCTGCATGGTTCAGACCAATTGTCAATGACTTCATGGATTGACTTCAAGTTTTGGTATGACCACCCGCCCTTACTCTCTTCCAACCTAATCCATAGACGGTTTACACTGTTCGTCAAGGAAGGCGATATCTCAGCGTGCACAACACATGTCCTATCCACTTCACTCGATTTATCTTCACAACCTTTTCGGTTGACTTGCCTTTCTTATCAAACACTCTACACTTCACCTCAATATTACTCACCATATTATACAACTTCACACGTAAGACAGAACGCCAAAATCGGTAGTAAAATACAACTAACCTTCTCATACCTTTCACTTTCAGTGTTCATGTCTCACAGCCATACAGGAGAACAGAACGAACTGTTGTGCAGTGCACATTCCATTTGATCGTTTGCACATTTCAGTCCATTATAACTGAATCAACTTCAAAATAAGTGAATCGGTCAACACACTCAGCCACTTCACTCCTAATCTCTAAGCAACAACCCAGGAAAGACCAATCCCCAACACTTTAAACTGGGTATACCAATCTATATGGATTTCTGAAAGTACAAGTACTCGCATGATAGTTCATCTGTCTAGGTACTCAAAACATGCCCAAACAAAAAAATTTAGGGGTTCAATAACAAAGAATTTTCTAGATTACAGACATAATGGTAACACTGTCAGGCCATTTACCGCGGTCAGTAGGTAAACAAGCTATCCAACAGGCTTTTCAGATTACAGTCTGTCAACTGGGTGTATATGAGCGAAATGGAATGGTCACTGTACTGAATCGACCGTGGTGGCATCTTTCACCTTGCTAACTATTATTATTACTACTTTACTTTCTCTACGAATATTGTTATCCTGAATAGTCTTGTTAAAAGACAGAGTTTGTCCGAAAGGTCGGACGTATTTGAGCAATATCTTCCGAACAATTTGACCACATAAATCTCTTTATCAACCTTACTACCCTCTTGGCGAGGTTTAAGAGTGCATCGGCCGGGGGATCGAACCCCGAGCTACATGCGTCGTTGGCGAACATTCTGCCGCTAAACCACCAACGCTATCTCCACGATGTATCCCTCTAACCATAGCAGAGTTGCCACACTCCATGTAGCACACAGAGATATTGAAAAGAGTGAGGAAAAAGACACTCAAAGGAACCAAAATAATAAGCGAACGTTTCAAAAAGAAGGGTAAACACTCATACACCATCTTTTAATATATTGAGTACTGAAAATAAAAAGTACAACTTACCGATGATATTTCACGAGTGTCTCTAACAACAAATCTACTGATATTCCTTTAAGTAGACTATTATAGGAATGAACCAGACGATTCAACTTTTTCAAATGTAACAGAATAGCAACTAAATTTGGTTTAGACCATAAATCCCAGCCTAAAATTAAATGACAAACAAGAAACAGAACTTCTTCAGGTGGAGTTTGATTCGATTGACTACTGAACCAATTCTGTAGGGCATTCACATTCGATGTGGTTTGTTTATTTCTAGGCAAGTGGACAAGAACACGAAATAGATCATGGATTGCTGATACCACATGAGAATCGAAGCGTAATGGATGAAGCTGTAAAATAATGAAATAATAAATACAAGGATTAGATTATTGATACCTTTTATTATTACTATTATCATTACTATTTCATCATAAGTTGATATCGGTTAGAGAACCATTGGGAAACCAGCAGGGATGGCTGTTCCATCTTAGTATGGGACTCTTCATCAGCACGCGCCTGCTGGGGTTCGAAACCCGGGGTCTTCCGGTTACAAGGCGAGCTCGCAGACTATTAAGCCACCAGGATCTAATTCAATGGCCCATGAATTCCAACTTTTACCAGCTCATTATGACGTTGTGTAACCAGTCGAGTCTCTGTAAACCATTGCTTGAATCTTATTATCTTTGTTACTCACTTTTTGCCTTCAGAGTGGGACATATGGCTTCTGTAATACATCTCCATTACACTCGGCTCTCTGTCATCACTTCTGACTGACTCTTTGATTGCTCACAGGCTCACGTTTTATCCTCACGTGATCCTACTCATGCAATACGTCAGACATTCAATCTGTCTAGCTAGATTTTTACTTTCAAATAATCTAACTGACCCCGATCTACTAACTTCACGTACATGACTGAATTGACCTCAAAGTCAAGTGATTACAGGGTATTTGATAAATTATATTATTTTTCTTAATGGAATCAATTAAGTCCTTAAACCAAGAAAGTTTACCTCGACTTATTCTAACATCATTGAGAATCCTACGTAAGGCCTCTGACGTTCCTTCTTTATATTGCAGTACTGTACAGGCTTTGAATTCTACATCATTTCCGTAATTTTCATTACCCATCTTATTTTTCCTATGGTTCTTCTTACATTTATGAATAAATCATGGTGAGCAGAGTGTTATTCACTAGTAATATTTCCTTTATTTGTTCAATTTTATTATTCAAATCTTCTGACTTACTAGTTAGGTTCTTGGCCCGATTAACTAGACATTTATATAGACATTAATAAATATCAATCAAACCTATCTACCGATTTTGGATGGGATGAATTAAAGTCTAAGTATTTCTTAGAGTGTGTGTGTGTCGGTCTCCTATAAATGCTGGTATCTGACCCATCCACCATATTGTTTTCGTTTTATTCTACAGTCTAGCATCACCCTACGCGTTTTCTAACTCAGAAGTAAGTTGGATTCCGTCTACTATTGAGTTTATATCTGCAAAAATCTGAGGGATATGTTCAGATTTCAACACAGTGATTGGGCATTTCTTCCCTATATCTCCACCACATAAAAGAAAATATATCAAAACGAAAGATGTTTGAGCGGAATAAAAGTGTGACTTACTTTCGCTAAAAGATGTACAAGTGGTAACATTATATCAGCACGTAAAACTTGTACTCCATTTTCAGGTTTCGATAGAATCAAATTTCTTAGAATTAGAATTAGATTCGCCACACTACTATCATTCAATGAAGAAGCTGCAACAAAGTTTGATAAAAATAGAATAATAATAATCTACTTTATTCCAAAAACAGCACTACTTATAATACAGAATGGAATTCTCAGCATTTGTCACAATATTGCATCTGATTTACTCAATATATAAATAAAATTAAAAATTAAAACAAAATTAACCAGAGGAATTTGTCCACATTTACGATATAAAGTCAAAAATATTCGAAGCACGAATTGAGATTATTAAATATAATAATAAGAATAACAGTGAGTTTCATTCAAACGGTATTGTCGATTCAGTTTGGAAACTTTAGCATGTTATAGATTATTGGATCTAATGTTCTGTTGATATAGTATAGTGAGGGGAAACACAAAATTAACAGTTATAACACAGCTTAAATTATGTCCACACTTATGAAAAAAATAAACAAAAACAAAAATTGAGAGGATTATAAATATAAGAAATACAATAACAATAAAGTTTGATGCTGTAAGGGTGGAGGAAATGGTTTATTTAGTGGTGCAAAGAAGGTTAGTTAGTTCATGCCTAACACTATTTTCATCACATAAAGTACGTGCTAAATATGGTATAGTGGAATTTTTATACTTAGACGTATGTGCATAAATTCTTCTGAAAAGACTTCTTGTTTTACCTGAGGAGACACAAGGTTGGAGCTGCGGGTAGAGTGGGTGCTCAGAGTCTGACAAAATTCCTTTAGAAAATTTGTTGCAAGACATCAAGTGCCTATCACCAGTGACAATGTCAACGATATGGCCCAATGGGATACCACTCGCCCTAGTGAAAGTCTTCAGAGTTCTACGAAGTATGACATAGTCCTTTTTAAGCAATCCAGGAAAGAATAAGGGTGAACAGTAAAGAAGAATAGGTAAAATACACGAGTTGACAAACTGTAAGAGGAGTGTTTGAGTTATGCCTGAGTGCCTTAACTTCTTAATGTAAAAAGTCAGACGAAATATTCTTTTAGAAATTGCTAAGACATGGGAAGACCAGGATAGGTCAGTAGAAAGAATTAATCCAAGATACTTAACTTCAGACTTGGTTTCTATATCAGTATCATCAGTTTCGCAAGGCTCATAGGAACCAACGGCTTCATTAAACTTTCGTTTACATCGGAAACTGAAATTAACAGTCTGACATTTGGAGGGATTTAGTTTAAGACCATTAGACGGAGACCATTTGATAATTCCTGATAGAAAGCTGTTCATCTTAGTACAGTCAAGCTGGGAGTTAACAGACATTGAAATAGTTAGATCATCGGCATACTTAACAAAGTTCATTTCATCAGAGTGAGGCAAGTCATGCAAGAAGAAAGAAAACAGAAAAGGAGAAAGAACAGCGCCTTGAGGGACACCAGCCTCAGTAAGCAATGAAGTGGACGACTTTCCCTGACATACAGTGTACTGCTTTCTTCCTGAGAAATAAGAATGCAGCCATTTGACAACCCAACAGTCAGTTTGAGTTTCAGCAAGCTTGTTTAACAAAATGTCCCTAGGTACTGAACATTGATAAAGAATGCAGTAATATACAAGTTTACACTAGCTAGCTAGGATGATAGATTAACGTTCGCGTAAAAAAATACCCTTCAAAATGATGATTGTTTTAAAGATTGGAATCAAACAAAAGTAGGGCACCCGGAAAAGCCCATTTACTTAAATTGCTTTATAGTATCTTTTCTATGACAATTGTTCATGTTACCTCTTTTAACTGTATACTACTGGTTATAGAAATGTGATAGTCCGTTGAATAAAAAGATAAGATTAGGCTTTCTGAGGTGGTCTCATTAGGTGGTTCTATTGCATTACCCCATTAATTGTAGCTGGGATACGTCTTTATCTGACGTACATATTATGGTTGGTGTTATATTCTTCGACTGCGTTAAATTTGCTGCCCTTTTATCAGAAAATGTCGTTTAATACTGAAATCTGTGCAATCTAAAGTAGTAAGTTCGAAAGTCTAACGTATATTTTTGTGGATTTTCATGAAATCGTGCTAATATATATTTGACCCATGTATTGAAACTTGACAATACTCACAGGAGAAAGCAGATGGAGCCACTTTAAAAAGAAAAAAGGTATATGACATATAATTGTCCAGTGTCATCTATTCAAATAGTACTGGACAACTGTCTCCACTGGCTCCAAACTTAGGATCAGATGGCCGGCCAGAAAGAATCAGCAACAAGAAACTCTCGCTACAAACCAACCAAGAGCCGACTGCTCAACAAATATCTAGGAGAAAATAGATATGGAAAGGGTATACATTGAGGAGACCGTCGAATGATATCGCCTCCAAAGCCTCAAGATGGTTGGGGGTGGGTGCCTTACGCTGCGGAAACCTTTTGAAATGCTCCCATATGACCGGGCGTATTACATAGCCTCTCCTGGGGATATCCTACTCACTGCCTTAACGTGGCGGAGGTGTTTTTCACCAAAGTGAGGGAGCGAAAGCGGATGCCCGGCGATCTTCACCGGGTTGACTGTCCATTGGATGACAGTCTAGGGGAGATGGCTAAACCCTGATTCCAAACCTACAACGACTGGCGTATGAAGCTCACTGGAGCTCACCGGCAGACGTATGGACAAAGGGCTTGTTGGATGTCCTGGATGTCTGGCCCCATTCGAAATGGCGTATGAACCGAACTCCGGTCACCGGCTGCCAATGGATAGTGGACTCCCTACTCCACTCCTACTGCCTTGCAGGTCACACTTGGTTGTGTAAAGGCTAGAGCTGCACTCTCAAACAAAAAGCCGAGCGATTATGGGGACATCACTCGTACCAAATTCCCATGAAACTTCATGAACTCTCTTACAAACGAATTGGATAACCCTGTCGCAAAACCTTGCATCAGATCGCCGCGCCTGGGCAGCGATGATTCGAGATGTTCATCAAGCCGGCTCATCCTCCCGTAGGAGATAGCCGAAGCAGAGTAAAAAAAGTAAAGCGTACCATGCAGGCCATTGCTCGATTGGATTTCGAATGGAATGCGACGAGTGGGTCGTCAATGAGAGGTTGACATGGAGGAGATCGTGTGAGGAGGAGATGAAAGACTATGGACAATAGTGGAGCCAGCTAGAGAGGACTGCAGAAAATAGGATAAAGCGGAGACGTGTTATTCGAGCCCTATGTTCCACTCGGAACCCAAGGGAACAATAATCGGAATCTACATGTAGAGACAGTTTTACTCTTAAGTAAGGAACCAAAAAGGGGCCTGTTTCTAATACAATCCCCTGAAATTCTTGACAGAATTTTTATATGTCTGTCACAAAACACCAAAATTCTTTAGTGCCATTCCTCAAGGATTATTATTATTATTGCTTATTACTGTTCCCTTGGGTTACTAGTGGAACATCATAGGGCTTCAACAACATGTATGCTATTTTCTGCGGTCCTCTTTAGCCAGGCCCACGACTCCTGACTCCCATAGTCTCTCATCAACCCCTTACATGATCTCCTCCATGTCACTTCCGGAAGACCCACGTCACTCACAATTCGGGTTAAAGTCGAGTGATGGCCTGATGCGTGATGTCATTCGACGGTCCCATCAGTGAAGTGTGTCCATTCCATCTCCATTTTCGTCTAGATATTCACTGAGCAATCGGTTCTTAGTTGGTTCATTCTCAGAGTTTCCCTTTGCTAATCGTTTCCGACGATCTGAAGTCAGTGTGTGCAGATGTTGATGTTACACTGGCCTTTTGGAAATGCTTTCCGTGATGCGCCATGTTTCCAACCCATTTAGAAGAATGGACTTAACTATGGTGTTGAAAATCCGGAATTTGTTGATTCCGCTTGGTTTAGAAGAGTTCCAAGCTGATTTCAGAGTGCTGAAGGTGTATGTTGCCTTTCCGATTCTGGCTGCTTTTGATATCTTCATCCAAGCTGCCACCTGTAGGTGGAACGATGGTGAGTAGATAGGTTAGAGAAGTGACCTCCTCTTTCGAATTTGTTCCGTTGATATTGATTTGTGCTGGTTGTTGTTGGTTGGTTGTTTTCATCACCTCCGTCTTCTCTATGTTCACCTGAAGTTCTGTTTTAAATGCCTGTCTCTGCTGCCAGTTTGTTGGTTTTCGCCTGCAATTCTTCGAGTTTGTGTGACATTAGACATAAGTAGTCTGCGAAATCCATTTCTTCAAGAGTCTTATTATCGGTCAACATTATTTCTGTCTTCTCGCTTTCCACTCACAGTCTTCTGCATAATGCAGTCCACCACAATTAGGAGTATCATTGGTGATAATAGGCAGACAGCCTTGTCTTACTTCTGCATTCCCTTTAAAGGCTTCACTGGGGATTTTTATTGTGAAGGTTAGTCCGGATTAATAAAATAACCAACGAATGTTTAGTACACTTCAGTTTCCACAGTTTGACTAAGTAAATAACAGAAACGATTTGATCGATATAAAGCTATTAGTGGAATCCTGTTTGGAACTAGTCAGCTAAATGTACCCTCATCAGCCAGTGATTGATGCTCTTCCCGTTGAAAATCGAACCCAGCTGTCCACTAGGCCACTCAACCAAGAGAGTCATCACTTATGCAAAGAATATTAGCTGCAATTTGCTTCAGTTTGACAGAAATTCTGAACCTCCCTTAGTGAGGCGCTTGGATGATATCTGACAGTAACTGACAGTGGGATCCAGCTCCGATAGTAACATCATCACTCACTAGGGATGAAGGCACTTCCAGCCTCCGAGTCCCGAATAGGAAGAAATGAACATCCCGAACTCCACTCCTAACCGCCATCATTGAAATGACATGAAATTAATCATCAGACATAGTCCAAAGAGTCGATATGTTAACACATACCGACAGTTTCGGTTCAGTAGAAACCAATCGACGAGGAAATTCAAAGCAGACAGCAAAATTGAGGAAAAATACTTTTAGCGAAGTAGTTCACAAATCAATAAGACACAGTCTTTTTATACTTTAAACTTACTAGTAATCACAACACCAGAAGAATCCCGTCTATCATTCGAACCACCACAACTGAGCGGGAGTAAAGAATTCAGTCGAGATCGAATACCAGACTGTATTAGTGGTAGTGATTCATTATACTGCATAACATTGTCAATTTTATTCCCAGTCGAAGGAGAAGAGTTAAGCACAGTAGAAATAGCAGCAGCAGCAGCAGTAGTTGCATTACTCATAGTTGTTGTCACAGGGATTTGAGTCGTTGTCGTCTCATTACATATCAGATCTAAGTCGTTGATATATCGATGATGTGCAGAGATGAGGAGATCAGTTATACTGAAATCATCTGATAACAAACTCATTTCAATGGAATTTAATTTGTCTGATCCGCTTACATAACTATTGGTTGGAAAATAGCGAAGTAATTTGAATATTGGCAATAGTACACCCATACCACCGATACGATTGATTGAATCCTGTGAAATTTGTTAAGAAATAGGCAAACATCTTTGAGAATTAAGAAAATCAAAAACTACTTGGAGTGAAGAGAAATTAGGGATTCTACGTTGAAACAATAAAACACAGTCTTATTCTTACACTCCACCAGATGATGTCAATCTCTATGTTCGAGAAATAAGGATAAACTACCTAAATTTGCCTCTTCTATGTGTGTCTACCAGTTTGACTGCAGCTGCGGAGCCAGCTACATTGGGCGTACAATTTGGCAGGTTCATCGTCGTATTTCCGAACATCATCCAGCATGGTTAAGCAAGGGACAAACAAGATCTATTCGTAGTTCTATTTTAGCACACCTTGTAGATACTGACTTACTTTACTTTACTTCGGCTATCTCCTACGGGAGGATAAGCCGGCTTCATGAACATCTCGAATAATCGCTGCCCAGGTGCGGCGATCTGATGCAAGGTTTTGCGACAAGGTTATCCAATTCTTGTTCCACAGATGAAGTCCGTAGACGGTTTGTAGCCCCAGGCACTCCATATCAGCCTTGACTGTACCAAGCCATGTTTTCAGCTGTCCACCCCTGCGACATCGCCAAGATGGTAATGGCGAGGGATTTAGAACTGATTTGACCAGATCGTCATCTGGTCGGCGCAGAACATGGCCAAACCACTGGGCGATGTTGTTGGACCAGTAATGGATAAGAGAGTTCATGAAGTTTCATGGGAATTTGGTACGAGTGATGTCCCCAGAATCGCTCGGCCTTTTGTTTGAGAGTGCAGCTCTAGCCTTTACACAACCAAGTGTGACCTACAAGGCAGTAGGAGTGGAGTAGGGAGTCCACTATCCATTGGCAGTCGGTGACCGGAGTTCGGTTCACACGCCTTTTTGAATGGGGCCAGACATCCAGGACATCCAACAAGCCCTTTGTCCATACGTCTTCCGGTGAGCTCCAGTGAGCTTCATACGCCAGTCGTTGTAGGTTTGGAATCAGGGTTTAGCCATCTCCCCTAGACTGTCATCCAATGGACAGTCAACCCGGTGAAGAGCGCCGGGCATCCGCTTTCGCTCTCTCACTTTGGTGAAAAACACCTCCGCCACGTGAAGGCAGTGAGTAGGACAACCTCAGGAGAGGCTATGTAATACGCCCGGTCATATGGGAGCATTTCAAAAGGTGTCCGCAGCGCAAGGCACCCACCCCCGACCATCCTGAGGCTTTGTTGATACTGAGCATAAGGTTGATGTTAATACTGCATTTAAAATTATTTATCGCATTCCGACTAATCTTAATTTTGCTCTACGAGTTCGTCTTCTACAGACAGCTGAAGCAATCGGAATCCACCTGAAGAAGCCAAGCCTATGTGTTCAGAAGAAATTTGTACAGCCACTTTCCTTACCGTGGCCATCTCTAGAAGAATGCATAAACAGGACTACGTCGCCCCCCTCCCCCTAAACTTATTAAATTATAATTGTCCAAATTATTTTAATTTTATTTTGACCACTTCATCTTTAATTACGTGTTATCCTTGTAAAATTAATTTATTCTAACCATTTCTACCTTTTAAATGTGTATTGATTTTCTTCGTTAATTATCAACCCATTGACATTTTGACACTGTTTAATTATTGTTAACAAACATATCAGTGCCACTTGTTTGGTAAACTGTTGTGTATTGTAATAAAAATGCTCTATGTGTATATTAGAGTAGAGCCAGAGATGAGGATCTAATTGAAAAGTAAATATTTCTTCGCTCAATCTTTCTGTTTTTCAAATCAGTTATTCATAGTGTAATAGCTGAACGAACTTCAGCTTCTACCGGTTGATCCACATTATTTATTATTATTGTTTCCTTTAATTCCTAGAGGAACATAGGGCTTCAGCCATGCGTCTCCATTGCGTTCGGTTCTCTGCTAGAGTCTTCACCTGGCTCCAAGTCTGTCCACACGTTTTCATCTCCTCTTCACATGACCTCCTCCAAGTCACCCTTGCACTGACGACCAACTCACCGCTTCCCTTTCGGGTTCCACTCGAGCTATGGCCTGGTGTGTGATGTCACTTGATGGTTTCCTCAGAGTATAGCCAATCCATCTCCATTTCTTCCTGCCTATTTGTTTCACAATCGGTTCCTGCTGTGTTGGTTCACTCATTGCCAGAGATCTCTGTTGCTGATCTTTTCTGGCGGCATCTGATCTTGAGCAGTATTGAGCGAAGACAACTGTTAATGAAGGTCTGTAGTTTGTTTGAGATGCTCTTTATGACGCGCAGTGCAAGTCCTCTGATCCGTATAGATTAGCACTGACTGACTTCACATTGGAGTTGAAAATCCGGATCTTATTTTTGATGCTGAGTGCTGTTGACCTCCACACAGACTTGAGAGTAGTGAAAGCTTGTCTTGCTTTTCCGATTCTTGCTTTGATATCCTCGTCAGTTCCGCTTGTAGTTGAAACGATGCTTCCCAGGTAGGTAAAGGAGGTTGTTGATCCACATATCACGTTTAAATCAGTTAAGAATAGCTAAGAACATATGAGCATTTATCAAGCAGCAATACAAAGATAAAAGGCATTAAAGTGATAAAGTGATTCCTGCTAATCACAGGTAAACCACTGAATTTATGGGGTTCAGTGATTAGAAGTTTTATCTTTCAGTCAGCATATGTAGTCCACTAAAACTGCCTCCCAAGTTAATCGTGATAAAGTGGTTGTCAATTCTGATGAACATTGAATAGTTTGTTTGTTTGAACTAGTTTCCATTTGGCGGGAGAAATGAAAGCTGTCATTGCTTAATTGTGTACTGGTTGGCAGAAGACTAGAGAAATACGATCAAAAGTATTCTTGTATATTATATTAACGTTTATTTACAGACTTTAGCACTGATTAACCACTGTAAAAATCCGTTTCGTTATCGCTTGAAGAATAAATAATCGTGTTACCCAACCGTTTTCTGTTGTTCCGCGTCGGTTACAGTGAATAGTGTTCTCCATATTAAGCTTAATCTTCTGAAACCAGCGATAGGTCCAGGATCTCTACAATCTGGATATTTGACAGTGATTGATTTCTCTGAACTGGATGGTTTAATTGTGAAGTTTTCATCGCACTTCTTGGTGACGTCTTCAGCACTTACATAAGTGTGTACTGAGTATTTGGCAATTTATCTCAAGTGACGTAACCGGCAACAACCGCCTTCGCTCCATACTGAAGATAAGATGACCGGCTGGCCAAAAAGAATTAGCAACAGGAAATTCTAGCAACAAACCAACCAAGAGTCGATTGCTCAACAAATATATAGCTTGCTTTGTAACCGGAAAGTCCTGGGTTCGAACTCTGGTGGTGGGTGCGTACTGCCGATGACTCCCTAACTAGGATGAAACAGCTGGCTGTCCAGTACTCCCTGATGGTTTTCAATGGTTCTCTAACTGATATCAATCCGTGGTCAAGCTTGAGAAGAAACAAATACATATATATAGGAGAAAGTTTTTTATTTCATTTTTTTATTTTGATTACAGCTTGATTCCATACAGTATTTTCAGTACAAGTATGGAATTTTCAGCATGGATATCGGTAGCCCAAATTTTGCAGGCCGACCATAGATATCGGGTGTGCGTCGGCAGGGTATCGAACCCCGGACCATGTGCATGGTCGGCGAGAGTCCTAACCACTGTGCCACCGACGCACACAAAAGTCCGGCTGGACGATCGAACAAGGAGGCGGCCGAGTCCGCACTTACTGACGCCATAAGCAGCCAGCCAGACGGACAACCACACACCCGCTTCACGCTCGGGACTAGGCCGCACTGATCATCATCGCGGTTGGTTAGCCAGGGTCAAGTTTGTTCGACGTCCTGGTGATACGTACTATAGGACTGATCCCTAGAAGTACGATCTCCAGCAGTGCGTCGACCGGGGATCGAACCCCGGACCCTGTGCATGATCGGCGTCCTAACCGCTATGCCACCAAGATGGACTGGTCATATGTTGAGGCCATCGAATGAAATCGCACGCAAGGCAAGCGATCGCTCCAGTGGAAACCCAATGGGAAGCGACGAGTGGGTCGTCAGTGCGAGGGTGACATAGAGGAGATCGTGTAGGGAAGAGGAGATGAGAGATTACGGTCAATGACGGAGCCAGTTGAAGCGGACCGCAGAAAATAGAACAAAGTGATGATGTATTGTTGAAGCCCTATGTTCCACTCGGAACCCAAGGTAATAATAATCAATAATAACATGACGTAACCTTCTCTCCTAATGGTGTTGATGGTAACTACTCGTCTTTCGAAGTTTTCTTATCCTCGCGTTGGTTTGCATTGACAAAAAATGGTTTCATTAACCTGAAATTTGATCTTTTTACAATCTAACTTGCTTTTTATTGATTGGTGAATTTGAACAATGTCAACAGATCTATTGAGTGAAGAATGATCCGATTACCAGGCTTCTAAGAATTCCTTGGAGTTTTCAGTATCTCCATTGGTTAGAATTTTCATACATTCCTCACGCAATTAGTTTCCACGACTGTCATATCTATTCCGAATAGCTCCACAATTGTAGTCATTGTTACATAAATGTTCGTTAATTGGTAGACTGCTCTCCCACCACGAACGTGGCCCTGGATTAGATCCCTGGCCGATGCACTCCTAAACCTCATTTAGCCGCCTAACAGCCCCATCTTGCAAAATTAAACACCAATGCTACCGAAATTTCGAAGCTAAAGCTTGGAGTCCTGTAACGGTAGAAGACGAAAGATCTGTTAGAGGAGTTGTTCAATTGAATTTAGATTTTCCCGTCGATTGAATGGACTTAATTGCTTGGTCTTGAGTTGACATGTCGGCTCCTTGTGCAGATGATTCGGGAAATGAATGGATGAGTCCCAAATAGGACGAAATGCGCATCCTGGATTCCACTGCTAGTCACCACCCACCAAATGTCTTGATAACGGAATGTTCATCTGCAATGTGTGGTATCTCTTAAGAGCAAAATTATGCACACCGTATCTTCAAATCACTATTTGCACAGATCTTCCATGTTGCGTTACTTCTCGACTTCATACTGTGTTTTTTTTGTGTTCTTTCTACGTCTCACATGTATTTCCACAGCGCCATATCATTTACTTTCTCTGACGCCAAATCTATATCCCTTCTATTTGATGTTTTTATGCTGATGAACATCTCTTCATATAGATACTACTGACAAATCTCATCAGTAGCACACGCCACAGCCCTATGCTCCACTCGGAATGCAAAGGAATAAAAATAAAACTATATATATGCAGCAATCGAGATTTTCTTGTGGCTTCCGAGAATTGACCGGGTTATCCTTCGACAGTGCAATACATTGATAAGTTCAGCTAAGAATAGTCGTTCTTCAAGGTAAAAAACATTAAAATCTAATGAGTTATAATTCTTAATATTCATCTACTAATAATGTAGTACAACCTCTGTCTCACGTCATCGATGAGTGCTCGTCTTCGCAACTAACTTTATGGACATTATTATTAGTTACAGTTTCACTACTAGGATTGAGTGAAACACGCCTGAAAGCTATTCTCTTCACTGGTCAGGGGAATGTTGATGAATGGTATTGTTTTCTGGGTAGATTTCGCTTTCAAATATTACGACAGAAATTGAGTATTAAAGCAGTCCACCGGTCATTACTGACTAACTACAGAACGGTGCTGCCTGATGTTCTAGCGAGAGGTTTTTACTGGTTGGCGTCCAACACTACATACTCGCAAATGTCATCGATTAATGGCAGTGCCATATATCGTGAATTGGCAGAAGTTAAAATTTGCAAACCATAACGCCATCGCCTCTAGTTGAATTAATGTCGCCTAGGTAAATGAAGAAAGTGACGTCTTTCAAATTTATTCCGGTGATAGTCTTTGTTGGTTGTTGTTGTTGTTTTGGTTGTTGATTGGTTATCTTCATCACCTCCGTCTTCTATATGTTCACTTGAAGTCCTGTCTTTGCTGCCTACCTCTTCTGCCAAATTATTGGTTTTCGTCTGCCAGTTTTCGAAGTTTGTGTGATATTAGACATAAATCAACCACATGCGTCGGTGGCACAGCAGTAGAATGCTCGCCGACCACGCAGGTGGTCCGGGTTTCGATCCCCGAACACCAGTGCACTCCTCTACCTCGCTAAGCCAGTATTAAGACTGGTAAAGAGGGAAGGTTGGGCATGAGGCTGGCTAGCAACCCCATCCTGTAAAAATAAGCACTACTACTTCAGGAACTTCAAGCCTCCAGCTTGAAGCCGTATGTTCCACTGGGAACATGAAAGAATAAAAAGACCACACGCGAAATCTAGATCTTCTACAGTCTTCTTATCAGTCTGCTGTCTTCTTCTGCGGTCTTCTGTATAGTGCAGTACACCAAAATAAGGCATATCATCAGTGATAGTAGCAGGTACTTCAAAGACTTAGCTGAGTTTTCCATTGTGGATTACCTGACACGTGGCAGGCATTGTCATATAGCCAGCTGTTGAATGAGTTTGTGATGAAGATTTCGGGTACTCCACTGCGTAGTTTTGATTATTATTGTATCCTTTAATGCCTAGAAGAGCATAGGGCTTCAACCGTGCGTCTCCATTGCATTCTGTTCTCTGCTAGAGTCTTCACCTGGCTCCAAGTCTGCCCACACGTTTTCATCTCCTCTTCACATGACCTCCTCCAAGTCACCCTTGCACTGACGACCAACTCGCCGCTTCCCTTTCGGGTTCCACTCAACGAATGGCTTGTCTAGTGATGTCACTTGATGCACTGTTTCCTCAGAGTATGTCCAATCCATCTCCATTTCTTCCTGCCTATTTGTTGCACAATTGGTTCCTGCTGGGTTGGTTCGCTCCCAGAGATCTCTGTTGCTGATCTTTTCTGATCTTGAGCAGTATTGAGCGAAGACAACTGTTAATGAAGGTCTGTAGTTTGTTTGAGATGCTCTTTATGACGCGCAGTGCAGGTCTCTGATCCGTATAGAGTAGCACTGACTGACTTCACATTGGAGTTGAAAATCCGGATCTTATTTTCATTTTCATGCTGAGTGCTGTTGACCTCCACACAGACTTGAGAGTAGTGAAAGCTTGTCTTGCTTTTCCGATTCTTGCTTTGATATCCTTGTCAGTTCCGTCCTCTTGTAGTTGAAACGATGCTTCCCAGGTAGGTGAAAGAGGTTGTTTCTTTCAGGTTCCTCCCATTTATGCTGATTGTTGTCAGTTGTTGTTGTTGCTGTTGATGGTGTTGCCCAGGAATTTTCACCTCTGTTTTATCTATGTTCACCTGAAGTCCTATCTTTGATGCTTCTTCTATAGCCAACTTGTTGCTTTTCGTTTGCATATCTTCCAGTTTGTGGGAAATCAGACATACATCATCGGCGAAGTCCAGATCCTCCAATTTTTTTGTGTGAGTCCATTTTATGCCTGTTTCCTCATTGCCCGCTGTTTGTCGCAATATCCAGTCTACTGCAATCAGGAAAATCGTTGGCGATAGTAGGCAGCCAGCTTGTCTTACTCCTGTCCTCACTTCGAAGGGTTCCGTAGGTTTCCCGTTGTGGATTACTTGGCATGCAGCATTGTCGTACAGCTGTTGGATGAGATGTATAATTGTTGGTGGCACCCCGTAGTAGCGAAGTAGTTTCCAAATCACCTCTCGATCGGCTCTGTCTGCTGAAAGCCTTTTCAAATCAATGAAGTTGAGGTAGAGAGCTAACTGCCATTCCAAGCTCTGTTTAGTGATGATCCATAGTGTTGTGATTTAATCGACGCATGATTTTTCCTCCTGAATCCAACCTGTTCCGGTTGAAGTTTTTCATCCAAGGCATGTTTGATTCTCTCCAGGATGATGCGACTTAGTATTTTGCTTGGGATGGACAGGAGCATAATTCCGCGCCAGTTCTTGCATTGACTTAAGTCTCCTTTCTTTGGTAGTTTGAATAAGTATCCTTTCTTCCAATCTTCAGGTACTTTGCCTTTGCGTAGTGTTGAAGTAGATTCCAAATCAGTTTGCTATCAACACTGTGGAAGGTTAAATCCAAGTTATAGAAAAAACAAACAATAACAATAAGAGTACCCAACTGACTAACTAACTAACTAACTAACCAACCAATTAACTCACATTTATCAAAACTGATTCCAGTCGTTCAGGACCTAACAGCGTAGCAGGTAGACCACCAAAATTTGTATATTTATGCTGGATATGCTGCAGCCATAAATAATCTTCATATAATGCTTCATCAATAAGCATAGAATTATTCATATCTCTATTAAACAGCTTTTCATTACATTCAAAAGATGTTGGTAAGCCTAAATTTTCACTTGCTAATTCTGGACATATTGAATGTGCATGATCAACTGATTTGGCATGATAATAGAATATTATTTTAGTTGAATTAAAAGCATTTGAATTCAGTGAATTCTCATCATAAGGATTGATTGAAGCATAACTACCACTCAGATTTGGTGTACTTGAACCTGTTGTATTCAAGTTATAACCTTCATTGTCCAACAGATAGGTAAGATTACAAGGACCTAAATAAAGAAGATAGAAGAAAAAAAGAAGAAGACAGTTATGAATATGATGGATTATAATTCAAGAATTCACTTACTGTCTGCCTGTCTGTCTGTTTTCCACATAGAACTTTGCACTGATGTGCGGCAGTTCAAGTCACCACACTCCCTCCATGTAGCACACAAAGCAAGAGAAGAAAGTAGGAGAAATGCATATTAGAGACGGTAAACAGAGGTGTGGGACAAAGGTATAGTAATAACGAAGAACAAAACAGTTTCACTGGAAATCATAAGTCACAAGGAGTGGATGCATCTGCGCTAGCCATTGAGAATTATTTTGAGCCATGTCTCCGATTGTTTACAGCCATTGGTTTTTACCGTCCCGAGGACCCCAACCAGGAAGTCTACACATTCCTACGTGGCCTAGAGTAACTGTTGTAGATTTCATTGACTGGTGCCGTGTTTCGGTTTGACCGCCGCTAGCTCTTTTCCAGTCTGACCCTATGTCAGCTAACATTGCCCATTGTCGAGGAAGGCGATGACTAAGCATACGTAACACATGTCCTAACCATCTCAGTCGATGTAATTTCACAGTTTCGTCGATTGATTTCCCTTTCCTCCTTACCTAGCACTCGACCGATGTCTAACCTCAATATTGCTCACCTTATTATACCACTTCACACGGGAAATAGAACTCAGGCACCTATGATCAAAGATAGCTAATCTTTTCATGTCTTCCACTCTCAATGGCCAGGTGTTACTCACAGCCATAAAGGAGGACGGAGCGGACTGTTGAGCAGTACACACGCCCTTTGGTCGATAGTCGGATATCACGTCTACTAGGCCAGAGACGGCGTAAACTGGCATATGCGAAACTAGCCCTCTGTATTCGTGCTGAGATTTCGTCAAAGATCAACCCGTTGACACTGGCTGATGGTACTTCCCAAGTAAGTGAAGCGGTCAACGTGCTCTACCACTTTACTTCCTATTTCTAATCTAGGAGTCAGTGTAGTCCAATCCTGTAACATCATCTTACATTTGGCGGGAGCGAATCGCATGCCGAACATTCGTAGATTGCAGCTCAACATGTTCAGAAGACCCTGCATTTTGTCAGAGTCTTCGCCTAGAGGGACTTTATCGTCTGCATATTCTAAGTCAGCGAGATTATTCCCTGGTAGCAAGTCAATCCCTGAGTCTCTGAAGTGAGTTAGGGTTAAGTCCATTAGTACATCTATGATGAAGTTGAATAGAAATGGGGATAATGGACATCCTTGACGGACGCCACTAGTCGTCACCACTTCAGATGACAACTCGCCATAAGCCCTCACCTGGCTGCATGAGTACGAGTAGAGTGCCTTAATCAGCGAAATATATTTTCTCGGCATTCCCTTTACAGGCAAACATCGCCAGAGAACCTCTCGGTCTACAGAACTGAATGCCACCTTTAGGTCAAGAAATATAATGATTGTTGGACGCCGGTAGGAATGCCTATGTTCTAGAATCTGTCGGAGGATGAAGATATGATCAATACACTTAACAGGACAATAATTTTACGTATCTCAAAAGTGACATAAGGCCATCAGTGGTTCAGTGGATGGGTACTCGCCAACCACGCAGTGAATGGTTCGGCATTCCATCCTCGGTCGATGCACTTCTAAACCTCACTTAGCTTTTGATAAGTATGGTAAAGAGGGAAGGCTAGCAGTGAGGCTAGCAACTCTATCTGGGTGAAAAAAATGTTAACATCAGTGTTTCTAAGACTTCAAATTTCGAGCCAAAAGCTTTATGTTCCACTTGGACCGCAGAGGAATAGAATAAACAAGAATAAGTAGATGATATAAGCCTGTAGCCTTAAAACAATGATAACAATAAAGGCTATCCATCATGAGCTGACACCAGTTAGAGAGAACCATTGGAAAACTAGTAAGGAATACTGGACAGCTATTTCGTTAGCCTAGTTTGTGACCTTTCAGTAGTACGCATCCGGCTATCAACCAAGGGACGTGTGTACTGCTCAGCAGTTCGCTCCTTCCTTCTCTATAGCTCTGAAACATGGCCAATACGAGTTGAAGACATGAAAAGGTTGACTGTTTTTGATCGTAGATGTCTACGATCTCTTTCTCACGTTAGGTGGTGTAATAAGGTAATTCATGGTGACATTGGGCGTAGAGTGTTGGGCAAAGAGGGAAAATCAATCGACGAGGCTATAAGGTTACATAGATTGAGATGGCTAGGTCACGTGCTGCGCACGCCTAACCATCGCCTCTCCCGAAGGGCATTACTAGCTGATATATTTTTATTATTTTTTTATTTTGATTACAGCTTGATGCCACACCGTATTTTTAGTACAAGTATGACATTTTCAGCGTGGATATCGGTAGCCCAAATTTTGCAGGCCGACCATAGATATCGGGTATGCGTCGGTAGGGGTTCGAACCTCGGACCATGTGCATGGTCGGTGAGAGTCCTAACCACTGTGCCACCGACGCACAGGTTGGAAAAGAGTAAGTGGTGGCCAAACAAAAACATCGCATCAATCCATGAAATCCCTGACAGTTAAACTGAGTCAGGTAGGGAGATGCAGACCTCCGGGTTGGGGCCCGCCCTCGGGACTCTAGGAATCAATGGCTGGAGACAATAGGTGACATGGCTCAAAATCGTTGTCAATGGTGCAGATTTATTCAGTCTCTGTAATCTTTCATATTCCTTTCTACCATTACTCATTCTGTTTCACTCTTATACTTGTCAAAACTCTATTGATTCTCTTCACTCATCATCTTCTTGTCTACCTTTGTGTGCTATTTGGAACGTGTCAACTGGAACTGCTGCACTTCGGTGTCAAGTTCTATGTTGAATCCAGACAGACGCATTCACCAGGGTTCGAACCCAGGATATTCTGGTTACAAGGTGGGTTCGTAGACCATTAAGCCATCACCGAAGACATTGTCTAGCGGTCCCGCTATGTCGTGAATTGGCAGAAGTTACAATTCATGGGGTGACCATTTGATCAGGTCCCAGTGGCTTAATGGCCTACGACCTTACCTTCTAACCAGAACACCCTAGGTTCGAACCCAGTGAATGTGTACTCACAAAGAGTCTCAAACTGAGACAAAACAGCTGTGCAGTACTACCAAGTTTTCCAGTGCTTCTCTAACATATGTCAGCTCATGATGAAATCCTGTAACCAATCAGTCAAATCCCTACAAACCAATACTTGAATAATAGCTTCATTCTGAACTATGTTTTTTTTATTACAGCTTGATTCCACATCGTATTTTCTGGTACAGGTATGGAATTTTCAGCATATGATATCGGTAGCCCAAATTTGCAGGCCGACTGTAGATATCGGGTGTGCGTCGGCAGGGGGTCGAACCCCCTACTATGTGCATGGTCGACGAGTGTCCTAACCCCTGTGCCACCGACGCACAGAATTTTCAGCGAAGTTAATTGCATCCTATTTTCTCTCCGTCCAGGATCTTCAAATAAAGAAGATTAATTTAAAGTAGATCATGTGACACAGTTCTATCTGACCTGAAGCACAAACCAATCAATTCCGATGATATATCTTCGTTGTCTTCTTCGAGAAATACACGACATGTTGTTGGATGCTAATAAAAACAAGTTCAGGAGTACATTTTGTGAGTCGAGGACATAACTCAGGAATGGTGATCTCATGTATTAGGATAAGATACCATCGAGTAGAAACCTGCGAATCAGCCCGCTCTAAACTTTTTAAATAGCCGCCAGAATAAAAAATACTGTATTATAGGTCATATTTTAATAAATTTAAACAAACTGAATAATAAAAATTATATGCAGTTTATTGATGGAGGTTATTGGGTAGCCCAGTTTTTAGGCGAGCCACCTACTTCTGTGCAGTTATCATTCATTCATGGTACCTTTTGAGTCCTCTAGTCTTTATGAATACACTGCACTCACATCGGTTGCCAACTCTCTGAAACTTATCCGAAAATTTAGGGTTTGTCCAGATGATAAAAAACTTATACGTTTCACAAGGTGTTCTTTAACTGCTGGTTGAGACAACAGTAAATCTGTCATGTCAACTGTCCGTCTTATCTTTCTGTTTTAACGTGCCACTGGTATTATTGTGGTTGTGTTTGATGTTTTTGTTAGCCTTTGTTAGAGTAGTTTTTGTTAACGCATTAGAGTGATAATAGCAAGCACACAGTCGACTGGGTTACATTACCGCCGGTTATAGGCGGTTTGTGGGATGTATTTTTATTCAGAATAATAGACAGTATTTGAGAGAAAGCGCCCAGTGAAATATGATTGATGTAAGCTCTTCATGGGATATTCCATTGGTCGCGAATTATCTACATTCTGTGACAAAATTTCCCTGAACACTGTGGTAGAATCTAAATTCATCGCACACAGTGATATCATACCGATGCACCCACATAACTTATACGGAATCTGTAGTATTACAACAGAAAGATGTGACATCTAAAACTCTACGTTAGATTCTTAATAAAGCAGAAATTATGGTAGCATTTAGACCTATTAAGTCACTTAGAAAGGGACTCTGTAGACTAAAGGAAACCACTGATCCTGATGACTGGGTTTAAACATAGAACTCTGCACAGAAGTGCGGCACTTCAAATTGCCACACTCCCTGCTTGTTGCACACAAAGTAAGAGGAGAAAGTAAAGATATATTCAGAGAATAGAGAGATAATAAGTAGAAGTATAAAGGAAAAAGAATAGTAATATGGAAGAACAATGGGACTTTATAGGATATGTATTATTGATTATTATTATTGTTCCCTTGGGTTCCTAGTGGAACATAGGGCTTCAACTAAACGTCTCCACTTGCTTCTGTCTTTTGCCGTACTTTTCACTTGCATCCATGTTAGTCCATACTGTTTCAGCTCTTCTTCACACGATCTCTTCCATGTCACCCTTGGACGTCCCACTCGCCGCTTCCCTTTCCGGTTCCACTCGAACACTGGCCTGATGCGCGATTTCACCCGGCGGCCTCCTCAGCAAGTGTCCAATCCATCT